TTTCCATGCTAGGTCCATGCTCACATGTAATTGTATTTTATTTCTTAAAAAACTTCAGGTGAAATTGTGTAGTAATGGGTAAGAAAGTAAGAGGCTAAGACCTGGAAAAGGCTAAGGTGGGAAGCATCCCTCTCATGCTCACGGCCGTGTCTTAATTCCCTAGCGCGTTACTGTCTTCCAGAGCACTAAATGTAGAAATGGAATCATAGAATCACAGAATGGTTTGGGTTGGAAGGGACCTTAAAGACCATCTAGTTCCAACGCCCCTGCCGTGGGCAGGGACACCTTCCACTAGACCAGGTTGCTCAAAGCCTCACAATCCAAACCTTTTCCACCCCTTTGCCCCTGAGGCTAAGTTTTGAGGATACTGCCCATGCGGGCTGGTGGCCACCGGGCCAAGCCGTGCCAGAAAGTGTCCATACCTGCACAGCCAAGCTTGGGAAGCTGCACATGGCGTTGGTCTCACCGACCACTGTTCGTGGATGCAGTGCTGGTGGGAGCTAAGCCAGGAGTGGGAATAAGTGCTTAAAAGGCAGAACATTAGGAATTTTACAACTGGGGTCTACTCTTCCTCTTCCTGGGTGTCCCTCTTGTTCTCCTCCCAGGTATCCCCATTCTCCTTTCTTGATCTCAGGTTTTTCCTGCCCTCCCTTCCTGAACAGCTCTTCGTGTTGCCCTCTGCTCTCTTCATGCCTTCCCCCCAGCATAAGCGGGGCTTGTCAGGGAACAAATTACAATATGGGACTTCAATTCTGCGTCCAATTTCAGTCAGCTGTGAAGAAAAACAAAGCCCACAGTCTGTGATGCTTCACACTGATTTCTCTGCCTGCAAAACACAGCCCCCCTTAAGATTTCTGCCCTTGGAGACCCCACTTTCAGCTCATGAACGCTGCCTGCTGTGTCTTCTCCCATGCTCTGTGTGCTGCTTATATGGCCTGTGGGATGGTTCAGCCCCATGGGCTGTGCTTGGTAGTCTTGGCCTTTGACTTCTGCCTGGCTTTAGGCTTCAAACTGCCTGGTGGGGGGAATTTGTTTCCCTCAGGAGGCTGGATTTTCTGTCATCTGCTCCTATTATCTGCCCTCTGACTTCAGGATGTAACATATTTTCTGTATTTCATAGCAGGCTTGTCTGGGGATCTTCCAGTACTCTCCTGAGCTGCTTTTTTGCTTCAGCCTGCAGTGGTGGTCCTGTCCTCTTGCAGGGACTCAGCTGCCAGTCTCAATGTGTTTGATGTGCAGCATCAGAGCAGCAACGCACTCTCCCACAGTTTTACATCCCTTCACAAACACCAAGCAGTTAAAAATAACTTCTGTTTCATGTTTTCTGCTGAAAGCAGCTCTCCCCACATTTCAGTGCTCCTGTCACAGGATTCGGTGCTACAAAATACAGCAGGCCTGGCTGTGTTTTGGGTCTAGTGCCAAGCGGCTACGAGTGAGGACAACTTCACTGCACCCCACACGGCCTCTCTGGTGGGTACAGGTTTCTAACGTGTGTTCCTGGCTCCCTCTTTGCTGCCCTGCTGCATCCCTGGAGGCCCTGCTCCCTTCAAAGCATCACGCCCCAGCCGTGTCCTCACCTTAACTCCTTCCCTTTCAGCCCTCTCAATGGCTTCAGGCTTTTTTGTTGGAATAATGAACCAGAACAATCTCATTTTTTTTAAAGTAAAAACACAGTTCAGCTGTTCATTATCCCACGGTATATTTAAACCACCTGCTTTTATGTGCCAGACAGCTCTGTCAACGCATCTACACCAGTAACTAAATGGCCAGGTGAAGGCTGGATGTACCATTTGGCATCATAGTGGTAGTCAAAAATCTAGCTAACTGCATCAGGCAGATATTCGGGTGCGTGGAGGGGTGTGAACATCTGAAACTGAACCTTTGAACTCTCGAGCTGCAACCAGCACAGACTGGGTATAAATTTGGGGAAATGCCTGGGCTAAACAAGTGTCACATCCTGCATCCTCCTGTTAATAAAGAGCCATGAGACAGGGTCAGCAGCTTCTGCAGATAGACTGCTTAGACTGGGAAAGTGAGGGCCTGGGCTCTGGAGAGAAGAGCTGTCCTGAAAGGCAGTGCCCTTGGACACAAGAAAGGGTCCTGGAAGGAGGATGATGTGGATCCTGGAAGCAGGGTGCAGATCCTGGAGATAAGGGTCACTAACACCAGGGGATGCCCCAGGCACCATGGCTGGCAATGGCTGCTGACAATAAGCCAGAAGCCACCATGATCGCCCACCCCGCCTCCCATTGGAAAAGGGCAGTCAGGACCCACCAAGGCTGCCCTGCCTGGGGAGTGCGTGGGGAGCAGCACAGGTGATGGTTGGGCAGCAGACACGTGTTCCACGGGTAACGGGGTGGGCAGCTGGCGCGTGTGCCACCAGCTGGCCGGGTCTGGCTGGCTGGCAAGAGCCTCGCTGGAGATTTGTCGTGCCTGCAGCCCTCGTGCCCATGGTCGGGGTCTGATGTGCCAGCGGGGCCCCTCAGGGGATTCGGTGCGCTTAAAAGCCTCCAGCAACTCCCAGTATCCAGACGGGCAGCAGGCTGGTGTTCCACTCACTCCCACCCCTGGCTATCACCAGCCTTGTCCTGCTCTGATGGCACAAAGCAGCTGCAAGCCCATTGCAGCTGGTCAGTGGCTTCAGCTGCTTCACGCTGCCCCAGCCCTTACGGACGTGTCACAAGGTCTCCTCCTGCAGGGTGAGGGTTTTTTTTCCTTTTTCCTACTTTTAGATGTAAATTTTAAATGGTAAAAAGAAATTTTTGTAGATTGAAAGGATGGTTAGAGCTAAGACTGAGAGTATTTATCAGAAAAACAGGGTCAGTAATTCACTCTACCCCTAATTTTGCAGTGCTAAGAAACTAAGCATTTAACATTAGATTTTAAATCTAAACACAGTGAAGCATAAAAACAAGCAGTTTCCAAGCAGTTTCAACTCTAGCCTGTAATGTCACTGGGAGGAAGAAAAAGTTCAAAAGTCACCTTATTTGTCACCAGGAATGACAAAACCTAACAGTAATTATGTTGCTGTGGAACCTTGATGGTGACTACAGACAGATGCAGAGCTGTGTGGGCATAGAAATACAGACGGAATTGGTCTGAAGGTACATATACGAATGTGCTCAAACATGACAAGGATGGGTGCATGCAGGCAGTGTTTTCTCCTGAGTGCTAAATCTGAGCAAAGCTATCTGTAAGCACATAGCCAGTGTCCTACAAACTAGGACTGGCTGGCCACTCATTTGTGTCAATAAATGTGCACAACTGCTGAGCTGTGAGCTTTTTATCTGCATGTAGTAAGCTGTCATTAGGCTTATTAGGCTTAAAATCCCGTGGGAGCATGTAAACAAATTAGTACATATTTTTCTGCGTCTGAGGTTTACAACCATTGACATTTCTAGTAAGAAAAAATATTGAATGTTCATCATATTGATATTTAGTGGCTTCATGAGTATTTTGAGGTAGGTCCCTAAGAAGTAGCAACTCATTACTGGAGCAGTTTTTCACTGTCAGTAGGTTCACTTAAAAACCTGTTTGCACTGGAGATGTTCTTTTGTTTAGCAACAATCTGAAGTTCGCAGGCATGAAATATTACTGGCAAAATTAGCATCTTTAAATTAAGGTAAGAAAAGGTGCCTGTGGAAAAAGAGGGAGAGAGGAAGGTAAGCTGGCCATCTTCAGTGTTTCCGCAGCATGGAATTAGGTTCTGTTGCAAGATTCATTACCGACTTGAGGCACGCATAGGTCTATTTAATCATTTAATTGTATCTGGAGCAGCTGGGAAGACATAAAATACCTGGGAAGTTGGTAGCTTGGGGTTTTTTTCCCCACCCTGTGCCTTACACGAGTGAGTCAGGATGCAGCTAGCAGCGGCTCCTGGCAGTCAGGCCACGTTCCCCTTGTAGAGCTTTCTGGCAAGGGGAGAACCCCGTGCCCACTGCCACCTCCTCAGAAGATGCAGTGTCTCTTCCTGCTCTCACGGCATCAGGAAGAGCTCGATGGAGAGCTGGACTGGGCGCCCACCGCCATCCCCTGTTCTGCAGCGATGCTCCTTCCTTTTCCCAGTCCAGAGGTGGAGCGGAGCTTGCAGAACCATGTGAAACGCACAGAGAAACTTTCATTCAGAAGTTCAGTTAAAAAGTAGAATATTTATTAAAATAAACAAGGAGAGTGGGGTTTGGATATTTTGAAGGTTTTCCTGTGCCATTCACACATGTAAACTTCGGGGACTTTTTCATTGGGGCAACAAAACTATCTAACCACAACTATTTACGTCACAGCCCTACCTCAGTCTTCGCTGTCCTACATTTGGGTGGTTAGGACCCAGTTACATGCTAAGTCTTCGTTTCTCCCACTTTTGTTTTATAATCCCTACCTGTAAATTATAGGAAAAATGCTGTGTTTAAAACAACCAAAGTGTCGATTTCCTTTCGGCTGCGTAATTGGGTTTCAAATACAGTGTAATAAACCCAGTGTTAACTTTCACAGGTAAGAACGAATGTCGTGCTGAAATGACACGGTTAACCAAGCACACTGATTCCATACAGCCTCTGAAATCTGAAAAACTCCTTCTACTGCTTAAAAGAAATGGGAGCCCTTTTCTTCCTGTTTCCCTCTCAGGGATCCTGACACCCACAAAAAAAAAGTAAAATATTCACCTGGTTTTGTTCACACTTGAGAACAGACACGTCGGACTGTCATATCAATGTAGTGAATCTTCCTAGTAACGTGTTATCAGTTTTCCGGTGTTAATCAATGAGATGGCTATCACAGTAAAACCACAAGAAACATCAATACATCATTAAAAAACACGCTGAGGCACCGTTTCATAATTCTGTACATTCTGCTTGGGAGCCTGAGCCAATGGCGCGTTCTTCAGCACCCTCCTGCAACACGCTCCTCGTCGTAGTGTGTGAGCTGGTGTTTGCTCAGGACTCAGTGTGACTTAATTTTTGCTTGCTGGATGTCAATTTTGTTTCGCTCTATGTGTCAATTAACAGGTGTGTATGTAATATAGACTGCAGTGGATACAGTTTTAATCCCGTGTGTGCTTCTGATGGAAGTTCCTATAACAACCCGTGCTTTGTTAGAGAAGCATCGTGTCTGAGGCAAGAGCAGATCGACATCAGGCATCTTGGACACTGCTCAGGTAGGCTTAATTTTGGTGTTCTGGTAAATGTAAATTCTGACAAAAGCGGGCTTGGTAGAACTTTCCCTTTTCCATTTTTGATCAGAAGTCTCTGATCCACTGATCAGTGAACTCCCCGCTGTATTTTAGAGTTCCCCATGCAGAGGTATGTTCGCACTATGTACACACGGGCTGTGTTTCCATTACCTTCCTTTGGCTGCTGTTACCTGGAAAGCAAAAGCTCTTAGGAGAGTCTAAGCCAACGAGTCTTACAAAAAGGGTTGGTAAGAAGCAGGAGAGCAAAAGGAATACCCGTGTGTGGGAAGCATTCCTAATTGCTGCTGTGGACTGTACAATGTATGTCCCAGGTGAGTGAAGTTGGGCCCCAATTGGACAAATATGTATCTGCTTCCTTTTCCAGTGGAATAGTTCACTGAAAGCCTCTGTCTGCCGCCTTATAGTTAATCATGTGCATGACTCCTCAGTTTTAGAGTATTGTTATTAGGACCTTCTCATGGGAATAACAGCTTCCCACCATCTTTTTGACAGTTTCATCTAGATCTTTAACTTGGACAGTTCCAAAACTGAAACAGACTGTCACCCAAATAACCGAGGCCCATACCATGGTAAAGTTTTTAGTTCAAAGCCTAGAGCTTGAGCTGTGCCGTGGGTAGGTTTGGGTGCTGGGGTTCCTGGCTCTGTCACTGAGCAGGTATGCTGCCAACCTGGCTGTATGGGAGGAACCATGTGGGAATGTGTCCACCTTTGCTGCAATTAAAATACCTCTACTGTTATCCTGGCTTCTCAAGGACATGCACATAGTGGTCTGGAAATAACCCTTTCCTAACACAATCCATGCATGTGTTTATCATCTAGAAGCAGATGACACAAACGCAGTTGGAAAGAAAGATGATGGCATGCAGTATCGGCCAGAGGTGAAAGGTACTGTGCTGACTTTGTGCCGTTTGGTTACGGTTTCACAAGATGAGAAAATAGAGCACACAGATCCCTTCTCGTCTGCCTTACAACTTTGATTTCTGTAACTGAGACAGACCTGTGAACAGCTGCTTTCTTGCAGCACGTTGCAAGCCTGGCAAGAAGGAGATGTGCATTCATCCCTCTACGGTGCCCAGCTGCTCACCGGCCTGTGCAGTGGCCACAGGATTAGACTTCCCCCAAGTGCTCTGAAAATGATTTTACTGGAAGACACCAAACTGTGACATCCCTGATGAAATGACACAAGCCTCCCACCCATGACCCCATCTTTTCTGTTAACTTCTGAAACAAAATGGCAGATTCTGTATTTGCTAGGTGGTTTTAAAATCTTTCCAGTAATCATATGCTGAATCACATTGGTTGAACATGTTTTACCTATGCAAACCTTGCCTTACCTCTAATAACCTTAGCATAAATGAAATAAGGCAGAGTTTCACTTTCTGCTCAGTCATTTTACGTGATAGTAGCCCATGTGTGTTATGCAGAGGCCTTTGTCCTGGACAGCAACACTCTAAGCAAGAGCCATGACATGCGGAAGCATATTTGTTCTGAAAAAGCACCTCTCTCAAGTTACTGGCAAAGAGCAGATCTGCAAAGGTGTTAACCTTTCCTCCTCTTCTCTCACAAATAACAGGATAGGATAGGATAGGATAGGGTAGGGTAGGGTAGGGTAGGGTAGGGTAGGGTAGGGTAGGGTAGGATAGGATAGGGTAGAATAGAATAGAATAGAATAGAATAGAATAATTTCAGTGAGAAGGGAACTACTATGATCATCCAGTCCAACTTCCCAGCCGATTCAGGGCTGACCAAAAGATAAAGCGTGTTATTAGGAGCATTCTCCAAATTTGACTTCAGCACTGACAGCCTTGGGGCATCAGCCACCTCTCTAGGAAGCCTGCTGCAGTGTTTGACCACCCTCTCAGTAAAGAAATGCTTCCTAATGTCCCATTGAAATGTTTCCTGGTGCATCTTTGAACCATTCTAGTATGTCCTATTCCTGGATGCCAGGGAGAAGAGGTCAGAACCTCCCTCTCCACTTCCTTTCCTCAGGAAGCCATAGGGAGTGATGAGCTCCCCCCTTAGCCTCCTTTTCTCCAAACTACGTAAGCCCAGATTGCTCAGACACTCCTCACAGGACATCCCTTCCAGCCCTTTCACCAGCTTTTTTGCCCTTATCTGGATGCATTCAAGGACCTTCATATCCTTCTTAAATGCTGGAGTCCAGAACTGCACACAGCATACCAGGTGAGGCCACAGCAACCCTGAAAACAGCAGGATAATCCTCTCTTGTCTGGCTGGCTGGGCTGTGTGTGATGCACCCCAGGGTGGGGTTTGCCCTCCTGGCTGCCAGGACATGCTGCTGACTCCTGCTGACCCAGCTGTCAACCAGCACCCCCAGATCCCTCTCTGCAGGGCTGCTCTCCAGCCACTCTTCTCCCAGTTTATATCTGTTCCTGGCGTTACTCCATCCCAGGTGCAGAATCCGGCATTTGAGCTTGTTCAATTTCATCCCATTCACCATTGTCCAATGCTCCAGTGTATGTAGATCCCTCTGCAAGGCCTCTTGTCCCTCAAGAGTCAACAGCACCTCCCGGTTTGCTACCACCAGCAGACTCGCTAATGGTGCAGTCAGCTCCTGCATCCCAGTCACTGATAAATGACCAGAACTGGCCCTAGAGCTGAGCCCTGAGGAGCAGCACTGGTGACCGGTCACCAGGCAGAGGTAGCCCCATTCACTACATCCCTTTGAGCCCTGCCCTTCAGGCAGTTCTTCGCCCAGCACACCATGAACCCACTCATCCAACAGCTGGACAGCTTACCCAGAGAATCCTGTGAGGGACAGTATCAAAAGCCTTACTAAAATCCAGAAAAAATACATCCACCTGCTTTCCCATGCCCTCCCAGAGTAAAGCCATCCCACCAGGGATTTCAACATTCCTTGTGCTCTTCTTGAAAAGCTGTTCCATGCCAAAAAGCTCCATATATTTTTCTTTTTTTTCACAAATTCTCTTACTGTCACTCCATGTAATGTACCAGTTGGACTGATTTAATGTCAATTTTCACTTAAATTATGAAGGCATAAAAGGCACCAAATGGAATATACGTCTTATTATGTGATACAATGAAACACCACTTTTGGTTCCTATTCAGAAGAAGTTACAGCCTTTTATTCATTGCATATAAATTGCCCTTGAAATCTAGTTAGTGGAAAAAACATTGTATGTAATTATTATTCTTAATGTGTGTAGCTTGTGCAGCCTCAAGTTCAGCAAATGATGTGCACGGAGGGAGTATGCCTCGTGCAAATAAATTGTTCCACAAACTTTTTATGCAGTAGCCGGGTTTTTTTACATAGGGAGAGCCTGAACTGAACTACTTTGAATGACTTTTTCTTCCAGGATAAGAAAACAGTCCACACTTCTGTTTCTTTTTGCTTTAGCTTTAAATTCCTGTGAGTTATTCTTGTTGCACTGTTCTCTGTGTAACACCTTCTTGTCTGTAGCACCCTAGCCATGACAGTCTCCTTCTCCTGCAGTGCAAGTGCCCACCTAAAGTTACATCTCTCTGCCCGGATTCAGCTGGCTTGCTGGTCTTACTGAGCCAAGATGGGCATCAGGGTTTCAGGTTTTGGGCATGCCTCTTCCTTCCGGTGAAGCATCTGAACCCAGTCACCCTTTCAAGGCTCCCACACATTAAATCTTTCACTCTGAAGCTCTGCAGCGGTCGGCAGGCCTCAGATTAAAAATGGATTCCCGCCAATAGGTGGGTAGATGTCTGTGTTAGGCCGGGCATCACTGCCTGCGTTCCACAGCTCTTTGCTTAATGCAGTTTTGCCTCTGACTCGAGTGGCTGTGGCTGCCTGGCCACCTTTCAGGGGATGCATCCTTCACTGGGCGTCACGTTCTACATCAGTACATACACTAAAACCGGACACGGTGCAGCTGTCTGAACAGACTAATAGAATTGCATACAGCTTATTGCTCGCCTTTGCTTGGGAGCAGATGACCAGTAATTAACTGCGTGGAAGAGGACAGAGACAACAGTTGTGGGATGAGTCATCCCCACTTTTCTCCTCTTAAACATGCCACGACGTAGTCTGTTCCACCCAGGCAGTGGTGGACGTATTGTCAGTATCAGCCACTGTTCTTCCCTCATATCAAGTCTTCTGTGTCTTTGAAGCACAGCCTGAAACAGCAGCCTTCCTTAGATCTGAAACCCCTAATAGAGGTTTTTCTCCTGCAACAAATTAGAAAACATTCCAGGAAATGTCCAGGGAAAACCTAAAACAGCAGCATGCCTTTATTTTTCTCTTGTAAAATACATTCTCTTTCTTGATGGTGTTATTTCAAATATCTGCAATTGTATAAGAGATTTCTTCTTCACAGTCCCTTTTTGCTTTGCACCTGCAGTTCATTATAATCTTGTATTTGTGATGCTATAGTCAATTGCCATGGAAATGAACGTAATTCCACAATTATGCTCACATCTTTAGATCCCTGCTCTTCAGAGAAGTTCATTATGAAATACCATCTTCTGTGTTTCGGGCTCTTTTACAGAACAATTGGTCAAGATAAAGGCAGATTAAGAAGTGAAGGGGAAAAAAAAGAGGAAAAAACCAAGTGATGCAAAAGCCATCACTCACAACATCCCACCAGCAGACAGATGCCCAGTCAGCCTCTGAGCACCTGGAAAGACCAACCCCCCAGTTTTCATAGCTGAGCATGGTGTCGTATGGTACAGCATACCGCTTTGGGCAGTTTGGGTCAAGTGTCCTGGCTGTGCCCCCTGCCAGCCTCTTGCCCACCCCAAGCCGACATGTGTAGAGGCCAGAGGGAGAAGCAGGGGAAGCCTTGACGCTGTGCAAGCAGCCCTCAGCCATACCCAAAGCACTGGTGTGTTACCAGCACTGTTTTAGCCGCAAGTCCAACACACGGCACCGAATGGGCTGCTCTGAAGAAAACAAATTCCATCGCAGGCAGCCCCAGTGCACTTCCAAAGGAATGGGTATTTTAAGCTCATTTCAGTATTTTGAAGCTCCCTCTGTGGGATAGTGTTTCTCTGATGAAGGCAGGTATTCTAGTGTGTTTGATTTCAGCTGTAACGACAGGTGGAGGCTGGTCAGACCTGGGCTTTACCAACCTCTTTTCTACTCCATCGCAGGCAGCCCCAGTGCACTTCCAAAGGAATGGGTATTTTAAGCTCATTTCAGTATTTTGAAATTCCCTCTCCGGGATAGCATTTCTCTGAGGAAGGCAGGTATCCTGGTGTGTTTGATTTCAGCTGTAAAGACAGGCGGTAACCGGTCAGACCTGGGCTTTACTAACCTGTTTTCTACTCAGTGGTCATAAAACGTGGTTTAGCTTCTTTCTAACCCTTCAGGGTTTATTCCCTCTGTTTAGACACGGGAGAGAGCGCCCTGTATCTGTGTGTTAGCTCTTTGCCTCAGTGCCACTGACAAAACCTCTGCTGATCTTCCTGCACTGACTTGCTCCTGTCCTGAATACTTTTCTCCTCGTGAGAAACCTGACATTAGAACCATATTTAGACATCTCTGAGGATCATTATTTCAATGCAGTACATTCTCACAAATCTCTGCAGGTGCCTCTGAAACTTCCCCCTTTGCCTTTGCTTTATTATTCTGTGGTTCTTTATTCACTAGCAAGTTTTTAAGGATATGCTATTCTTGGTTGAGGTGTTTTAATGAGCATCACACAGCCATTTATAATTGTTTATGTGTCTTTCTGTCCAAGACGCCAGTGATCAGCGAGAAGACATTTACATTGGAAACCACATACCTTGTTCAGAAAGCTTCAATGGCTACTGTATACATGGAAAATGTGAATTCATTTATTCCACTCAGAAGGCTTCCTGCCGGTAAGTCCTGCATGCCTCCAAAATGTGCTTGAAGTCGCTGTAAAGCTGAACCAGAATGCTCTCTGGACATAATTACGGTGTGTGTCCCTTTGCAGCTCTCTAGGCACTGGCACTGGAGCTGTACCCCTGTGCTGGGGGCAGCACCCAGCTGCTCCAGCTGTGCAGGAGACGGTGCCCAGAGAAGAGGCTCAGACGGTCGTGTAGTTCAGAAGCTGAATCCCCCTGAGGATTGTGGCCTCAGTGTTGTCCTTCATTTTCAGCTGCTAAATCCTATCTAGAAAGGAGAAATCCCCACAGACCCCCACCTTTGTCTTGCAGGACTCTTCTGTATGGCTGCTCTCTGCCTGTTGACCTCTCAGTCTGTTCTTATGCTGCCTACACAGTTTGTTGCTGTTGTCATAAACTCTCTAGAGTATCAATATCTCATTGTTAACATTTATTGCCCTTTTTCACAATCACAGGCTTCACCTAGAGAGTATAAGTTTGCACAATATTCTTTACTCCACATTTTTTTGTCTGTGATGTAATCTAACCGCTCAGTACACTCAGTCCCTCAGTGTTTCCCAGGAAATCTGAATGTTTCATTTCATTTCCTTTTTATTTTCTTAGCTCCCAGATAATTCTTTCTTTACATTTCACCAACTAAATTCTTCCTCTTTATTTTCATTTAAAAATAAAACAAAGTTAAAAAGTGGTGTATAGAAAAAGGCCTCTTAATCACATGGAGTCCCCTCCTTAGTAGGAGGTTTCACTCCTGAACTTTTATCTTGCAGGCTTGTCCTTTCAGATTAATGGGGTTGAAGATGTAATAACTCTTTGCTTTCCTTTGCTTTGGAAACTTCAGCTGTAAATCCGTTAGATTCAATCACATTTTCTCCCTTGATCTTTATCGATCAAGGATATTTAGGGGTTTTTTTCCACTGCCAAGATTTAAGGGTTTTCAGACTGACCAGGGAGTAGGGAGCTCAAAAACCAGAGCCAGTATGGCTGTCAGCTTCAGCATGTGAAAGCTTATATTATTCCTTTTCCCATCCGAGATCCTTTCTTGCTAATTTTCACCTTTCCAATAGGACTTACTTGTTTATCTCTTTTCTTTGGCCAGAACCAAGAGAGCTCAACATGGCTTTGCTTCTTTTGGGAAACTGGGTGTATCCCCAACGTCATCTTGGCGGTCATTAGGCAGCACTATTTGATTACAATATTCTTTTGATTCTAGGGCTGCATTTAACACAATTTCTGATGGATTTGTCCTCAATACATTCCAAGTAGAGGTATTTCAAGGAAAACATTCCTGGCTGAATGAACTGATTTTTTTTTCCTCCGAATTTTATTCTGGGTGGTGCTAATCATATAGTCATTTATTCGTGTATGATTCAATTGCTATTCAGTCATTTATGTATTTATTGTTTCTCTAAAAATTATCGATAGGCAGTGTTTCGATGAATTCAATTAATGTACTGTCCCTTTAAATTCTATTTTATAGTTACATTTACCGTTACTACCTTCAGCTATTTATTTAAACAGCCTGCACGGTATCTCAGCACCGGACCCAGCACAACAAACCTCACGTGGTTCCAGTCAAGAATTTCTGACTGTCAGTTCTTAACCCTAAGTATCAGATCCCCTTTGGATTTTTCTTGGCTATTTAAATACTGGTGGCCTCATACTTTACGCACATTTCCTATGGGAGCAGGGTTATTAAGGAAACGAATGATTTCTATCTGACAGCAATCCGCCAGAGTACTTCTACCGAAGAATGAAATTCTGTCGTGGAAAATACAGCGACAAATGCTACGGGCAGATGGTTACGTTCAAATGCTTTGCATTCTCATACACATCTAGCATATACACCGTTGAATTTGGTCCTCATTTCCTGGTAGTGATATATGTGAGGTGTCAGATGACCTACTAAACTGCAGAAAATACCTGCGCAGAGCCAGTTCTGACTTTCGCTTTCACTGAGGGCAACGAATCTCCTTGCTCGTTGTACAGCCACCCTCCAGGACTGCCAGCAGGCAGGTGGGAGGAAAGTTCTTGTAGTAGTCAGTTGCATAATATTTAGATAAGCAGCCTTTGCACAGCTGGGATCTGGTCTGTCTCATGCTGCCCCCCTCATACAGGGCAGTTCTGCCCCATCCTTAAGGCAGGCTGCATCAGGGGTCACAGTTCAACCCTTTGCAGAGAAATCTAAACTCCTTTACGCTAGCTCAGGTAATTGACTGATCAGCATATTTTGATAAATCCCTGCTGACCTCTCTTTATCTTGCTATTATATTAATGTCATATTGTTTTGGTATGTAATAATGCAGCAGAATGCTTTCAGATCTGTTCCCCTAGTTTAAGTTAGCCTAAACTAGGGCCTAGTACTTTGTCCCACCACCCATATAGTTCTTCGTTTTTGCAGGGATTCAATACTCCTGAATCTCTATTCAGTATTTCTCAGAAATAATTGCCTGTCGCTTCAGTGTTTCTGAGGAAACATCTTTGAGTTACTTGCGCCTCATCTGCTTTGTCTTGCCTCATCTGCCTTAAAGCAGTTGTCACATTGACCACACCTTGACTGTTACCTTCTTTAATGACAACAAAAGCGAAGTAACGATAAAAATTCAGTCCACTAGCAAGGAGTCCTCTTCCTTAGTGTTTCTTTTTGCATGATTACCAACACGTTCCCTGTCCTTTTCCTTCTTCTACACTAATACACGTTTCTTTTGATTGCCTCCCTAGCCATTACTGAGCTTACTTGCAATACACGGGGGCTTTTCTTTAATAACTCCGCTCTTAGTGGAATTTCTTTCATGCCTGAACCAAAACTCCTTACACAGCAGCTCATGGCTGGAGAAAGTAGAGTCACATGTAAACCCCAACCGTTATCCCTGCATGCAGAGGGGGATTAGGAGTTGCATTAGCCGTTGGAGGAAGGTCTGCAGAGTAATTATTTTGCTCCTCCAAACAGAATTAATTCCTACCTTAGCACAAAGCTTTTGGATGGGTGAGACTGATTTCTGTGTTGCATTCGGGCTTATCTGATCCAGTTCACAAAAGGATTGTATCTCTGCCTGCGTGTGAGTCTGTCTTCTCTAGCTTTCCGCTGTGGAGCTGGAGGCCAATTGTACGATTCACTTGCCCTCCATGATGCCTTCGCACCCCTCAGTCGGAAAGGACTTGCTCAGGGAGCTGAGTTCTGGGCTGTGAGCCTGCAGACTTCAGCTCAGCGTCTTGGGTGGCGCTTGCCTTTCCTTGTTGTGCTTCTGCCTCTCTTGCCTTGCAACAGGAATTCTTCCAGAGCGTGCTTCCACTGCCATCTTCTCCACTGGCACACCTCATGTTCCCTGAAAGCACCGCTGCTCAGGAGCAGCCTCTGCCGCGTTTCGCTTTGAGCTTAACTGCTGCCTTGCTCAGGAGAGGTACCATTTAGAGC